CTAGTGAATGCATAAATAAGTGGAACAGCCCTAGCTTGTTGGCTCAGTGAATAGAGTGTCAGCTTGCAGAGTTAAGGGTCCCAGGTTAGATTCCGGTCAAGGGCATGTACCTTGGTTGCAGGCACATCCCCGCTGGAGGGAAGTGCAGGAGAAGGCAGCTGATCGATGTTTCTCTCTCATCGATGTTTCTAACTCTATCCCTCTCCCTTCCTCTCTGTAAAAAATCAATAAAATATATTTTTAAAAATTAAGTAATTAAAAATTTTTAAAAATGAAGCCAAGAATGCTGGATTGTGAAGGTATTTAAGCATTCTGGTGTTAAAAAAAAAAAGTGGGAGGGCCCCAGCTGGGTGGCTCAGTTGGTAGGAATGTTGTCCCATACATCAAAAAGTTTGTAGGTTTGATTCCTGGTTGGGCACATACCTAGGTTACAGTTCAATCCCTGGCCCAATCCCTGGCCTAGTGTGAACAGGAGGCAACTGATTGATGTGTGTGTGTGTGTGTGTGTGTGTGTGTGTTTTCTCTCTCTCTCCCTCCCTCTCTTCCTCTAAAATCAATAAGAACATATCCTCAGGTGATAATAAAAAATAAATAAATAAGTGAGTGGGTAGTAAATTGAAGATGTTGATGTTAAAGTTAATTCTCATTATTATTATCCTTGCCATCTCTAAGTAAGCCCTCATTAGGCTTTTACTTCTATTTCTTTCTTTTCTGAGTAAATGGCTCTTTCTTGACATCTTGGCTTAGGATGCGCTGCTCATCTCTCAAGCTTGGACATACATCTCTAAGCTTACAAGCCCAAGACTCCATTGCCCTATTTGCCACTCCCTACTGAGAAGGGCAGGGTGGAAATCTATAGTGTAAAAGGGAAAATAGGGCCAGAAGATTGAGAACCTGCCTAGTGACAGAACAAGAGGTCAAGTGTTTCTATCTGTTCCCTAGGCCTCTCCACTCTGAGACTCACCTCAGGAATTGCTTAAAGAGTCTTGGGCCTGTCCTCTCTGGATGTGGTGACTTCAGTTTAGGTATTCACCATGGTCCAGCATTTGACATACCATCAGAGGCTGTCCTACAATACAGCCTCTAACAAAACTAGACTGTCCCGAACCCCTGGTAATAGAATTGTTTACCTTTATACCTATAAAGAAGGTCGGGAAAGCACCAAAATCTGCATGTGGTGTGTGCCCAGGCCGACTTTGCAGAGCTTGTGCTGTGAGTCCTAACGTTCTAATGAGATTGTCTAAAATGAAAACAAACAAACAAACAAAAAACACGTCAGCAGGGCCTATAGTGGATCCATGTGTGCTAAATGTGTCCATGATAGGATCAAGCGTGTTTTCCTTATTAAATAGCAGAAAATCATTGTGAAAGTGTTGAAGGCACAAGCACAGAGTCCAAAAGCTAAATAAATTTAAAAATGAAGCTTTTTTGAGTAATAAAAACAAAAGTCTCATTCTGTTATAAAAGAGAGACAATTAAAGAGAGAGAGAGAGTGTGTGTGTCCTGGGCCTGGCCTGGCCACTGTGGCTCAGTGGTTGAGCATGGACCTATAAACCAGGGGGTCGCTGCTTGATTCTGGTCAGAACACATGCCTGGGTAGGGGGCTCGATCCCCAGTGGGGGCATGCAGGAGGAAGTGGATCAGGGATTCTCTCTCATCATTGATGTCCCCCACCTCTCTCTGTGAAATAAAAAAAATAAGGTAAGAAGAATCTGGCCTAAGAAGGAAATAATCATTATTTTTACCTCCCTTGGAGCATTCTGTGGGCCATAAGCATTACTAGGCACAGTGCTTGCTGCTGGAGCAAAGATGTAGATAATAAGACCCCAGTACTCCCCTAAAAGAATGCTTGATAGCATTTCCTGGGTGCCTTAGCATGTCATTTAGCCATCTCTGCCATTCATACACTTGGAATTTCATGCCACTGAAGGCTTTGATTATTGCTAGTCAAATACTAGTCATTTTATTTTTTTAATAACTGCATTTTAAAAAATGTATTGATTTTAAAGAGAAGAAAAGAGAGAGAGAAACATGGATTTGTTGTTCCACTTATGTATGGATTCATTGGTTGATTCTTGTATGTGCCCTTACTGGGGATTGAACCTGAAACCGTGGTGTATTAGAGCGATGCTCCAACCAACTGAACTTCCCAGTCAGGGCTAGACATCATCTTGATAAATAAGATGATTGAGTACAGAGGTAAATACTGAATTTTAGAAGCAAGTTGGAACAATAACCAAATAATTAAGGTATAAAGGGGATAGGATAGTTGAGGAGTGTGAATAGGTGTCTTCTAAAGGATAGCTTAAAAGACAATAAAAAAATACTGAAATTCGAGTTTGAACTGTAGAAAATGGGAACATACTATGGTTTCTATCTTGCCCCCTCTTGGATCGCTCATTCTGGGGGAAGCCTACTGCCATATTGTGGACACTCAAGGAGCCCCATGGAGAGGCCAGTGTGAAGAACTAAGGCCACCAGCCAACAACTAGCGCTAACTTGCCAGGCATGTGAGTGAACTACCTTGGAACTGTTAAGTGTCAGATGACTTCACCCTTGTGAGAAATCCCAAGACAGACCATCAAGCCAAGCTGCTCATGAATTACTGACCCTCTGAAATTGCATGAGGTAATACACTTTGTTTTGAGCCACAAAGTTTTTGAGCAATTTGCTATGCAGTAACAAGTAACAAATCACAAACACCGCCAAAACCGGTTTGGCTCAATGGATAGAGCGTCGGTCTGCAGACTGAAGGGTCCCGGGTTTGATTCCGGTCAAGGACATGTACCTTGGTTGTGGGCACATCCCCAGTGGGGGAGGGGGGGTGCAGGAGGCAGCTGATTGATGACTCTCTCTCTTCCTCTCTGTAAAAAATCAATAAAATACATATATTTTTTTAAAAATTATAAACACATATGTGCCTACAACCCAAGCTTGTCATCTTAACATTTGCCTTATTACATAAAATTTTTCCTTTTTCTTGTTGTTGTTAATCCTCACCAGAGGATATTTTTCCATTGATTTTTAGAGGAAGTGGAAAGGAGATGGAGAGACAGAGAGAAATGTCAATGTGAGAGAGATTGATTAGTTGCTTCTGGCATGAGTCCTGACCAACCAGGGCCAGGGACAACTCGGCAACCAACCAAAGTTCATGTCCTTGATCAGAATTGAACCTGGGACTCTTCAATCTGCTGATGCTCTATCCACTAAGCAAAACTGGCTTTTTTTTCTTAAAAAAGCAATGGTCCCCCACCCCAAAATAAAAATATTACAGTTGAAACACTGGCTTCTTAATCCTGTTCCTGCCTTGTGCCTCAGAACTCTGAAAAACATCATGGCACCTTTTACATTGAGTATTGCTTGCCTCTGCATTGGTTTGCTGCTGCTTACTAGGCTCTACCCTAACTACCTTTCCCTCGTTTTGCAGAAAAAACTGGGACATTTCAAACATTTTGAGATGGTCTTCCCACTGAATTAACTCAAAACCACAATTCCTATTTGGTTATTAACCCAGTTTAAAGCCTTGGCATTTGCCCTCCCCTAGGGGCTGTGGTGGCTCCACTTGTGTTGCTATGCTAGGCCAGCTGTGCTACCCATCAGAGCTTTCTTTCTTAAAAAAAACCAAAACACATACATTTTTATTGATTTCAGAGAGGGAGACAGAAACATCAATAATGAGAGAATCATAATTCGGCTGCCTCCTGCATGCCTCCCACTGGGGATCAACCTAGGCAGTGCCCTTGACCGGAATCAAACCTGGGACCCCTCAGTCCTTAGGCTGATGCTTTATCCACTGAGCCAAAACGGCCTGGGCAGAGCTTTCTTTTTTAAATGTCTATGCCAGTTCAGATTGTTTCCTTCAGAAGCCAGGGTACAGCTATTTTGTAGATATAGAGTGGGTCAAAAGTAGGTTTACAGTTTGAGTGCACTAAAATTTTTAATAGTTATGTTTCTGATTTTAGAGAAACATCAATGAGAATCATTCATCAGTTACCTCCTGCATGCCCCCTACTGGGGATCAAGCCTGCAACCTGGGCATGTACCCTGACCAGGAATCTGACTTCCTAGTTCGAGGGTTGATGCTCAACCTGAGCCACAGCAACAGGGCATGAAAAGCTTATTTTTAGAGAGGAAGAGGAAGAGATAGAAACATCAATGATGAGAATCATTGATTGGCTGCCTCCTACATGCCCCCTACTGGGGGATCAAGCCTGCAAGCCAGGCATGTGCCCTTGGCCAGATTCAAACCTGGGATGCTTCAGTCTGCAGGCTGATGCTCTATCCATTGAGCCAAACTAGCTAGGGCATGAAAACCTTGTTTTCCATACAAACTGTAATCCTACTTTTACCCTACCCTGTACATGGTATCTATGGGCTACAAAAAAAACTTGGGAAATTTTTGGTCTTTCCTACTTTTAAACCAGTTAAGATGGCAACATCTTCAGCATTCTTGTCTCTATGCTCTGAATTTGAAATGTACATTTCCCTCTAGGTTAAATCCTCTATTTGCTTATTTCTAGATTCCTTTCGATGTAGCCAAACTATATACTTATGTATGCTCTTAACATTACAAATGTTGCCACTTCACCCCCTATTTTCTATTTGTAGTAAAGCAGTACTCTTCCACAAATGCACCTTTTTAACGAGTCAGTACTTGCAGGAGATACAAATAGATTTATAGATATACCTTGGAGATATTGTAGGCTTGGTTCCAGATTGCAATCAAGTATCATATCTGCAGGTGTTTTTTTTTTACTGGAGGTTCCTTTGTTCAGTTTAAGAAAAGAAAAAAAAATCTGAAGTGCAATAAAACCAGGAATGCCTGTACTTGTTATTGCTAACTCATTAGAACCAAGCTCTGCTTTTGAAGACCAGTGTGCTCATTTCTCTTCAGAGGTAGCTAGACAGAAATGAGTTTAGTATTCCCACCTTATTGCTGTCCCTATCCTCCAAGTATAGAAAAATCAACTTAGAAAAAAAAGAACAGAAGTCAAACATTCTTTCTCCACGTCTTTACTTTTAAACAGGAAGGGAAAATCGCACAGGTATACATAAAAAAAAAAGGCAGACATGATTACAGGTAAAAGCAAAGAAAATTTAACCAGAAAGCTTTAATGACTGTCAGTTCTGAGTAGACATGTTGCAGGGCTGAATTAGTATTCCTCTCCTTCTTCCTCACCCTCTCCCTCAACAGAATCCACACCAACTTCCTCATAATCCTTCTCCAGGGCAGCCATGTCCTCACGGGCTTCAGAAAACTCTCCTTCCTCCATGCCCTCACCCACATACCAGTGGACAAAGGCACGCTTGGCATACATCAGGTCAAACTTGTGGTCCAGGCGGGCCCAGGCCTCAGCAATAGCTGTGGTGTTGCTCAGCATGCACACAGCTCGCTGCACTTTGGCCAGGTCTCCACCAGGGACCACAGTGGGGGGCTGGTAATTAATGCCAACTTTGAAGCCAGTGGGGCACCAGTCCACAAACTGGATGCTGCGCTTGGTCTTGATGGTGGCAATGGCAGCATTGACATCTTTGGGGACCACATCACCACGGTACAAAAGGCAGCAAGCCATGTATTTACCATGGCGAGGGTCACATTTCACCATCTGGTTGGCTGGCTCAAAGCATGCATTAGTGATTTCTGCTACAGAAAGCTGTTCATGGTAGGCTTTCTCAGCAGAGATGACAGGGGCATATGTGGCCAGTGGGAAGTGGATGCGGGGATAGGGTACCAGGTTGGTCTGGAATTCAGTCAGATCAACATTCAGGGCCCCATCAAACCTGAGGGATGCAGTGATGGAGGACACAATCTGACTAATAAGGCGGTTAAGGTTAGTGTAGGTTGGGCGCTCAATATCGAGGTTTCTACGACAGATGTCATAGATGGCCTCATTGTCAACCATGAAGGCACAATCAGAGTGCTCCAGGGTGGTGTGGGTGGTGAGGATGGAGTTGTAGGGCTCAACTACAGCTGTGGAGACCTGGGGGGCTGGGTAAATGGAGAATTCCAGCTTGGACTTCTTGCCATAATCGACAGAGAGCCGTTCCATCAGCAGGGAGGTGAACCCAGAACCAGTGCCCCCACCAAAGCTGTGGAAAACCAAGAAGCCCTGAAGGCCTGTGCACTGGTCAGCCTGTCAGGAAAGAACAGAGGAAACATAGTTATTGCTTTTTGTGATGTATTTTCACTTTTCATAAATTTCAATGATCTAAATCTTATTTTGACAGGAAACACTTTTTTAAAAATGTAGGCCTTTCTGGAATAACTCAGCATTTATTAATTTAAAATATTTCTCCATTAAAATTTATGAAATGATTTCAAACAATTAATGTTTTAACAAACAATAAAGAAATAATTCATCTCCCACTCTATTACATTTCAATTCTGTGTTTAAAAAAAAAGAAGAGCATACTTTAAATGTCTACCTTAGGCTTATTAATTTCTTTAATCTTGAAAAGAAACATACCAGTTTCCGAATTCGGTCCAGGACAAGGTCAATGATCTCCTTGCCAATGGTGTAGTGTCCACGGGCATAGTTATTGGCAGCATCTTCCTTGCCTGTGATCAGCTGCTCAGGGTGGAAGAGCTGGCGGTAGGTACCAGTGCGAACTTCATCTGCAAAAGGGAACCAAAGCAGCCACCCGTCACTAACCACCTGCACAAGCCTGCTCAACCCCAAGGCCTCAACGGAGCCCCCTGGACACACCTTGTGTCCCAGACCCCAGGTCGTATGTGTGTCTTACTTGGGTTACTGAGGTCAACTCACCAATGACTGTGGGTTCCAGGTCTACAAACACTGCCCTGGGCACATGCTTGCCAGCGCCTGTCTCACTGAAGAAGGTGTTGAAGGAGTCATCTCCCCCGCCAATGGTCTTGTCACTTGGCATCTGGCCATCGGGCTGGATGCCGTGTTCCAGGCAGTAGAGCTCCCAGCAGGCATTGCCGATCTGGACACCGGCCTGGCCAACATGGATGGAGATGCACTCACGCTGTGGAAGAGAGAAAAGAAAAAGAAAAACCAGGGTGAAACTAGTCAGGATTGACTTAGAAGCAGAATACACGTATGGAATCTTAATCTTACTAATTGCCTGGGTTTTAAAAAATATTTTCAATGATTTTTTTTTGAGAGAGGAACATCATTGATTGCCTGCCTCCTGCACACCCTCTACCAGGGATTGAGCCTGCAACCCAGGCATGCACCCCAACTGGGAATCTGAGTCACATCAGCGGGGAAACTAACTGCCTCTTTTAAAACAAATTAAAGTGTCAAACTTTTTCTCTAGGGGACCACCACTCTATGCTTTCATCTATATTGCTTCTAATGCATTTCCTTTCCTCCTGTAAACCAAGAAGGGGCCTTAGTCACAGCTTTCTCCTTTGAAGGACCAAGATAGAGTGGATGCCATTCGTCCAGCACTCAGACTCAGAATACCATTTTAGACTAGATTTCCGGGCAGCTCCCAGCACAGGAAGCACGTGGCCAGAGCAGCAAAGAGGAAACGTCTGGCCCGGGGCCCGGCTCTGCGACACAGGATGAATGAGCAGTTTTAGGTGCGCGCGCCCAGAGGGGCCGCGCAGCTGCAGAGGGATGGACAACCAGCCACGTCTGCAGAAGGGCAGCAGCGGCCAACTGTCCTCAGGGCCTGCAGGCGTTGGGCTCCACCCAGCACCTCCACATCTGTCAGGGCACGGAGGGGATTATCCGCTCCGCATATCTGGACCAAGATCGGATTTCAGTTGCTTCAAAATCCCTCACCACCACCACCTGTTCCCGCAAGCATTTCTGACGTAGCTGAGAGGCCAGGGAGGGGCAGATGGCCTCTATGAGGTGTTGGGAGGCGATTGTCCTAATACCCTGGCATGGTGCAGCACACGGACAAGGAGCCTTCCTCTACACCCATCTTTTTTTTTTTTTTCTGAGCGTCAATACTTTAATTTTGGAATAAAGAGGGAAGCTGGAAAATACACTGTATTTAAAATCTTGGTTACCCTCATATTCTGGAAACCCCCTCCCCCCACCTCTACATCCATCTTATTGCTTTCATTAACACACACACACACAAATATATATATATCTGGGGTAACAGGAGACCCTCCACCCAGCCCCGCAGCGCCCCAGCGCGCACGCGCAGGCCGCAGTGGCGGTCTCCCGCGGCCCCGCGGCGGGAAGGTAACGGCCGCGCGTGCGCCTTTGAGGCGGGTCCCTTCCCGCCTCCGCTTTTCGCGCCGAAGAGGAAGTGAGGGCGGGGGGAGCCCGCGCGCGCCAGGCTGGGGCGGGGGAGGCGGAGGGGGATGGGGACGCGCGGGAAGAGACTGTCTGAAGGGTCAAGGAGCGCCGCGCCCTGCCCTGCGGTGAGGGGCTAAGTAAGAACCCTAACCCCGGTGGAAAGAGCCGGCGCGCCGTCATCCCCTTCCAGAGTCCAAGAAAAAAAGGCGGGGGCGGGGGCCCCTCCATGTATGGACCCCAGCTTTTCTCCACAAACCGGAGCCGCTCTGCACCCCCACCCCTGGCTCTTGCCTATTTATTTATTTATTTATTTATTTATTTATTTTGCCCTCCAGATGGACGGCGCGGGTCTCAGCCCTCTCTAGTGAGAAGGAAGCCCTCCGTATCCCCAGCTTATTTCCCCTCATGTCCCCCAGCGAGGGAAGACGCATGTGGCCCACTCACCATGGCTGCGGGTTTGCAAGCGCAGGAAGCAGGGGTAGACGCCGGGTCCCGGTTACTGTTCCCGACAAGCTAAGAGTCGAGGTGAGTAACGCACTGAGGCGGGGGAGGCGCCCGAGTCGCTTAAGTAGGGTTTCGGGGAGGGGCGGGCGGGCTCGGGCGGTGCCACGGCCGCGGCCCCTCCCCCGGCCCGGCGCGCCCACTCGGTGCCCGGCTCCGCCGCCGCAGAGGCGGGCGCCTGGCCCGGAGCCCCCTCCTCCCCGCGCCGGCCCGGCGGGCGGGGGCCTCCGCGCCTGCGGGCGGCGAGCTCGGGTGCCGCAGTGGGCGGCGCATGGCTGCCGGGGCCTGGGCGGAGGGCGGGCAGGGCCGGGCTCTGAGGCAAACCATCCTCGGAATGCGAGAGAGAGGAAGCTGGCCTGAATTTGGGCCCACGCCAAGACTCGAGTCTGTAAGAGAGGAAGGCTGTGAGATGCAGGAACTGCTGGTCCGGGTAGCTCAGCTGATTATGTTCAGTGTGGCCACAATTTGTCAGTGAGTTTTTTGCCTTTTCCTTTTCTCGGCTCCTTTAAAGGCAGTGGATGCTGTACTTCCCTGATAACGCAGGGTCCGCGAGGTTCGGAAAACAGAATAGCTCTATTTGGTTTACTGTAATGACTTGTTCTTTAAACTAAAGGTACCACACGTTGGAAGCACAAACAGTCATTCGAAGCATTTAACATCCAAACTGTTTTTAAAAGAGCCCCCTTTTTGGACCTCAACCAGCAACTTTATGGAGTAGCCTTAGGGGAGATTCAAAGACATTTGAGTGGCTGAATTGAAAACAAACTTAGGTAGAGACGAAATAGACACGGAAGGATATTAGAAAGTAAGGATTCTTTATGCTAGTTTCGTAAAACTCTTTATATCTTAAGGGCCTTGTGTTGTGTCAAATAGATTAATTGGTTATAGTTTACTGTTAGGAGGCCCAGATTATAGTGAGTAGATACTGGCCCGCCCTCCACCCCCATTCCCTTTAAGGAGAATATTCCAAGACCATTGTTAACCTTGGAAATGCATAAGTAGGTTATTTAGGGTTCTAGTGTGGCTTTTAAATGGTTCTAGCAGAAACCTATTGTTATTACTACACTACTCAAAATATCCTCCCATTGATAGTGTATTAGTAACAAAAAAGGTAAACATAAGACAGTAGAAATTCTTAGTTCACATTCAGTTTTTACCTGATTCAGATTTGGTCAAGCCTTCACCCTTCATATCACACAAATAAAACATTTACATGTGTGTGCAGTTTGTAACAATATCTAGATACTTCCCACTCATATTCATATGATCCTGGAATGCAAACAAGGAAGTACTCATTTATTCCTCATAAATATTTTTCGTAGTCCTGTTAAAAGGTTTTTGACTCAAAGCCCAAATTTTCATACATTATCCAAACTGGGTTATAGGGGACAGGAATATCTTTGAACATTGTCTCACTTATTATTGACATACAATGTCCTATTAGTTTCAGGTTGTTTTACTTATACTTGTTTTTGAAAATTTATTTGTCCCACTTAGTCTTAAAAGGAGATGGAAAATACATATGTTTTATTGTGCTTTGCTTTATTGTGCTTCACAGAAACTGCATTTTTTACAAATTGAAGGCAAGGCTCTCCACCAGCAAAAATATTACAACTAGCTTTATTGCAGTGGTCTGGAACTGAGCTTACAATATCTCTGAGGAATGCTTGTCATTAGCTTGTCTTAACCCGAAGTATGAATGTTTTGAAACAACCTAGCTGAATTCCATTCTGCTGTCTGCTCTGGATGAAAGTCATTTGAAGAGGAGCCTCCCTCCTCCTAGCTTTCTGCAGAATTTTAAAGCTTTCACTGCAGGGACTTGCTCCTGGTGGGCCTATATGTCTCCCCAGATGACTTCCTAAAACTATTAGCTTTGTTAGCCTTGTTTTCTGTGAATTCCCCTGTTGTGAATAAGGAATTATTTGCCCTTTTTTCTTTCTTTTAGGTTCCTGAGGATACCTTAGGTTTTAGAAAATAAGAGAGCCAAAGGAACCTTTCAATATAACCTAGTTTGGTATCTTTATGCCAGAAAAAGATTGAGTAATGCTAAATTAATTAATTTTGCTACCTCTTTAGTATACTTGATAGGAAAGGCTGACATTTTTTTCCTTTTTTATCCATAGTAACTTACATGGTTCTATACATGGATGTGTACCCTTCGTCTATATTTAACAACTAAATCGTAGTTGTTAAATTGCTAGAATATAAACACAGTATTATCCATTGTCTTAACTGATTATATAGGTCTTTCTTTTGTTGGACTGTTTTAGGGCCTGTAACTATTTGCTTTGAGTCTTTGATGTAATGGAAGATGTGTTGCTATTTGAGCCACTCCCAACTTTGCTACTTAATATCCTGGCCATTTGCTACTGTTCTAAGGAGTCTGTAACATTTGTTGATAGTTTCGTCTTGTGGTTTAGACACAAAAGTTGACAAAATATTTTGTTCATTTAAATAGTTCTACAGGAGAGACATATATAATATAACAAATAGCAAACATCAATGATTTTCAAACATTTGGCCTTTTATTTTTATTTATTGTAGTGTTATACAATACATTTATATATGCTATTTTGTGGTCTGTTTTTCCACAGTTGTGTATAGGAGAAAGAAAATGGGCTTTGATTTCAAATAGTACTAGATTCAGTTCTAACTTTGTCAGTTAATAATGGTATGACTCCAAGGGCATGCACTTCGGTTGCAGGCTCTACCCCTGGCCCTGGTTGGGGTGCGTGCAGGAGGCAACTAATTGATGTGTCTCTCTCCTCCCTTCCATTCTCTCTGAAAAAAGTAAAAATAAAATGTAATATGTTTAAAATTAACTTTTTTTTTTTTTTTTTCAGATCTGTAAGTTTATTTGCTCAATGTACGACAGGTACATACTGACTCACATTCATGATATTCCATCACTGAGGAAAACTGCTAAGAACGGTCTGTGTGTGAAATAATTCTTAGAGAAATAATTCTTAGAGTTGGAAAAAATAATCACTGATTAGACCTTAAAAATAGTTCACTGCATAACATGACAAAAAGCACAAAGGCTCATTCAGAGAACATATTCATTGTTCTCCTACACTGTAATAGTTATAATTTCACCATGACAAACACCAGACATTGAGATTAAGCTAACACTGGTGTTTCTTTTGCCCCCCGCACCCCTTAAAAACAAAATATATAACTGCATGTCACTATAGCAACATCCAAAACAGATCAAATTTAAAATTAACTATTTTTAATTATTAAAATTCATTTGTGTCTATCTAGTGTCATTGCCTTAATTATTGATATTATCTATATCCTGGTGACTACCAAATTTATGTCTCCCACCCAGACTTTTCCTCTTTTCCCTGAAGCATATATCTAGCCACCTATTTAACATACTAGTATATCATGTCTAAAACAGGATTCTTGAATTCTACCCCCTCTCCACACTCACATGCACACAACCGCTCCTTTCCTCATCTAGTGTTCTCCATTTCAGTAAATGTTACCTCCATTCATCCAGTTGCTTAGGCCAAAGACCTCTGAGTTATTTTTTACTCCTCTTAAAAAAATTAAAAAAAAAAGTATCTTTTATTTATTTCAGAGAGGAAGGGAGAGGGAGAGAAATAGAAACATTAATGATGAAAGAGAATCATTGATCAGCTGCCCCTTGCATGCCCCCCTATTGGGAATTGAGAGCCTGCAACCCAGGCATGTGTCCTGACTGGGAATCGAACCTTGACCTCCTAATTCATAGGCTGATGCTCAATCACTGATTCACACCTGACTCCTTTTTTTTTTAAATCCTCACCCAAGGATATTTTTCCATTTATTTTTAGAGAGAGGCAAAGACAGAGATATCGATGTGAGAGAAACACATTGATTGGTTGTCTCCTGCACAAACGACTAAGACCAGGGCCCAGACCAGGGAGGAGCCTGCAACAGAGCTAATGCCCTCGACCAGAATCGAACCCAGAACCCTTCAGTCCTCATGCTGATGCTCTATCCACTGAGCCAAACTGGCTAGGACTTGATTCCTCTTTTTAAAAAATGTTTATCTTGTAATGCATCAGCAAATCCTGTCAGCTCTACCTATGAAATATATCCTGAATTATCTGTCATCTCTCTCCCAGGCACAAAAATAGTCTACTTACTGCTCTCTCTTTTTCTATTATTGCAGTCGTCGTCGTCGTCGTCTTCTTCTTCTTCTTCTTCTTCTTCTTCTTCTTCTTCTTCTTCTTCTTCTTCTCTTTAATGAATCTTTAAAAATACAACTGTAATCCTGCCTACTCTGGAGGCTTCTTTTCATTCTTAGAATAATATCTAAATTTTTACAATGTTCTAAAAGGTTCTAATGGTCTGGTTCCTAGTTTCATCTTATATCACTTTACCCCCTTACTCATTCCACTTCAGGGGCACTGACCTTCTTACCTTACTTCTAACAGAGCGATCTTGCTACTTTGTCTCAAGGCCCTCTTGCTCTTCTTTCCCTAGATATCCACTTCCGCATTTCCTTAGTTTCTCTTTCAATATTATTACCTCAAAGAGTCTTTGACCTTTCTTTCTAAAATAGCATCCTCCATCCCTTCTCTTTCCCCTTTAACCTTTCCCCCCCCATCTTATCACATTTATTATTTACTTGCTTATTTCCTGTCTCCCCACTAGAATTTAAGTTCTAAGAGGGGAGGATCTTGTCTCTTTTGTTCACTGCTTTAGTCATAGTAGGTGGTGAATAAATATGTGTCAAATATGAAATGAATGTATAAATGTGTATCCTCAAATGCCTAGCATAGGGGTGTTATATATTTGGTATTGAAAATATATTAAATGGATATAGTATCACTGATGCACTTTATTGTTTCCTTTTGTATGAGAAGATTTTGCATAATGTAAGGACTTGGTTCCCTTTGACATCTCAAATTACTCTCTTGGTCTCCATTCTTTAATTTCTATCAGTAAGGAGAATGGCTCTACAGAAAGCCTTCCCAATGATAAACTTAAAGGTCAAATAACAAGTTGCTTTTTAGATTTTTATAGTTTAGATTCACTTTATAGTTGTTGTTTTCCTTCTAAATTAATTCATTTGCCCTTGGGCCACTTTTGTTGCCTATA